AATCAACACTGCACGTTATTGATAAAACACCGTGAGTGTAACATTTACAAGATGGGTAAAGGAGAATTCCAACCAGAGAACTCCAAATTTAAAGTGACTGACAAAGGTATGTGTTTACATATTCTGCATTAAAATAAAATGTATAAGATGCAAGTATGAGATCTTTGATTCTTTGTAGCTGATTTTTTCAGTTCTACCAGCCACCAGACCCACTGCATCAGCTTCTCTACTGCCTTCTGTTTGGTTCTGACCCCAAATGTGCCAAGAAGTCCTGACAAGGTAAAATGAATCCCAGGAGGAAGGAAGACGATGTGGAAGCCTCCCCATGTAGGAGGTGGCTTCCCCAGACCAGTGGGCTGTCAGATCCAGATGTACAGACTCAGAGAGAAGAAGAGGGCCTCTGTCCATCTGTCCTGCTCATTATCTGTCCATCTGTCTCTCGAAGAATCACCCTTCCACCTCATACTCTAGACTGTGAACTCAAAATACCCTATTGTTGGCCTTTATCCACCTCACACATATAACTTTAGGCCATTGGTTTCTAACTGAGAAAATTTGACAACACACATTCCCAAGCACACCCTCCTCTGTGCATTTAGAATAAGAGGGCGACAGGAGGATCTGTTTCATTGTAATAAAGTGATTGATAAAGTGATGTTTTATTGGGGGCTTACTATGTGCCAGATCCTACACTTAGGACTTTTAAAACATTTTCTCTTTTGATTCTCACTGACTTTAAGATATCGTTACCAGTATCTACACTTATAAAACTGAAAAATGGAAAAACAGGGAGGAAGTGGTTTGCTTTTCCCATACTTAGCTGCTAGCTGGGAATTAAGAGCATCGGGATGCACATCCAGGCCAGGCTCTGGAGTCCACATCCTCTTTCCAACACGCCACACAGTCCGCAGAGGTGAGAAGGGCCAGTCTGGCTTTCTGGTAAAGGTGTGTGTGCTCATGGGTGTGTGTGGGTGTCTGTGAGTGTGAGAAGAGGGAAGTCAGGCAGAAGTGGAGTGGGAACCCTGAGCTGCACAGGGCTGAGGAACAGGTGCAGGAATAGAGAGGCAGGAACAGGGCAAGGCAGTCCAACTACGTGAATGGGGAAAGAGCTGAACACAGCATTCCCTGGTCAGGGCCCGATAGGTCGGGGCCTGGCCTGGGAAGCCAGTGGTTGCCAGAAAAACCAGGTCAACAAGGAGCCAAAAGGGACCTGCCCAGGGCTTCAACAGGAAAACCCTTTTGAGAGGCCAAGAGGGTGGGGAAGAGAGGAAGCAGCTGGACTTGGGTGGGTGATGTAAGGGCTGGGTGAGCACCCACATGCCCTGGAGTGGGGCAGCTTGTGGGTCAGAGTGGGCATCTGACAGAGCTCTTCAAGAACTGAGCCGTGGCAAACTGTCCCCAACTAGACACTGCTCACTGTTCTGGTAAGAGGCTCTCAACACTTGCTCCCTCTAAGGCAGGGATCCTCAAGTGCAGTCCCCAGACTGGAAGCATCAGCTTACTTGAACAGTGTTAAAAGTGTAAATTCTTGGGGCCCATCTCAGATGCACTATCATAGGCTTAATGTTCTGTATCATCCCCAATTTTACCCTCAGTGTGAAGATGGGGCCTCGGACGCAGTAATTAAGGTGAGTGAGGTTGCAGGAGTGGGGCTCTGATCCAACAGAGTTAATGGCCTTAGAAGAAGAGACACCAGAGAGCTTGCCTGCTCCTTCCCTAGGAGCATGCTCAGAAGAAAGGCCGCGTGGAGACAAAGCAGCTTCTACAAAGCAGGAAGAGAGCCCTCACCTGAAACCAAACCCTGATCTTGGACTTCCAGCCTCCAGAATATTTGTGTCAGCCACCTGGTCTGCGGTATTTGGCTACGGTAGCCTTAGCAGACTAAGACACTCACTGGATAGGAAACCCTGGGGCTACACTCCAGATACCTGTTTTCAAAAGCTCTCCAGGTGATTCTGAGAACTGTTGCTCCACTCCTGGGCTAAATTCAAAGACCTTCACTCAACTCAGGAAGTATTTACAGGAGTGCCTCGGAGACAGAGATGAACAGTCCCAGGCCTAGAACTCAGAACAGGGGGAGCAAAGTGAGCAACAAATAACATCATCAGAGGACAGCAGAAGCCATGACAGGCTCCTGCACAGAGAATTAGGGGACATACAGGAGGGGTCTTTCTTTCTGTAAGAAGTAGCCTTTGAGCTGAGTCCTGAAGGTTGCCTACCCTAGCTACAGAGGCGGACACACCGGTGACCATGAGGAACAGTCTTTCCTGAAGAGAATCTTCTCCTTTTGCCCCTGGGAGACAGCAATCTCAGAGGCTGGTGCTGCTAAACGGGACAGAGATTTGTTTCTTCTGTGGGAAATTCGAGACTGCTCCAGAGACCAGAGGGAAGGGCAATTGTGAAAACTTGTGCAGAGAAAACTAGTGAACAACAATGTCAAAAACCATCAATTCATTTGTCATCATTATTGTGAATATTAAGAGAATATGTTTCTGCCTAGCTGGATACTAGCCATACCTTTATATCATAATGTTATAATGTGATGAAATAAAGGTCCAGCCTGTTTATGCTGGTAAATGCTTACAACTCGCTCTCTAGGGAAGAGGGTGAGGTAGCAATATCTAGGGTTTGCCAATTTTCATGGTGTAAATACTTCCGCCACACTCGATCTCAAACTACCAACCTGGTGTTACTGAATGTGCAGCTGGGAGAAATGCACAGAACTGACTGTGGGCTGGTGCATGCCCCTGTGCCTGCCACAGGTCCTTAAAAACCCAATTGTATTTCCAAGGGTTCCTGTAGAAAAGCTCAGGCAGCATCCCTGGAGGACCAGCTGCTATCAAACAGATTAATGCACAAAAATAAGACATCAAGAGGAAAACAGTTCAAACATTTTAGGAAGAAAGAAAGTTGACAAATAAGCCTAATGGAAACCAATCTGCAGATCCAGGAAGTTTCTGAATAAATGTTAAGCTTTCCTGATCTAACTTCTTAAATCATGCAACTGATCTCTTTTTAAATTATAAAGACAACTATGTCCTTAGTTTGGAACCTTATCTTTCTCCTACAAACATTTTATATACAGATGGCCCCTACTCATGATGGTTCAACTTACAATTTTTCGAACAAAGGTGCAAAAGTGATATGCATTTAGTAGAAACTGAACTTTGAATTTTGAATTTGCTCTTTTCCCAGGCTAGCAGTCTGCAGTACCACCCTGTCTGTCCATGCTGGTCAGCAGCAGTGAGCCACAGCGCCCAGCGAGCCGTGCAGTCGTGAGGGGAAGCAACTGGTACTCCACAGTGTGCTGTTACAAGCTACGGTGTTGGGTGGTCTGGGAGTGGTAAATGCATCTTCAGCTTAGGATGGGCTTATCTGGAGATAACCTCATCCTAAACTGAGGGAGGTCTGTGATTCACTCCAATCATCCACAAAGCCCTCTCCCTTAACAGCCATGTGGAGACAACAGGAAATTTTACAAGTGTCCCAGTGGCCTTCCAATTGCTTCCATACCTGCAGTTTCTGGGTTCAGCCATGCACCCCTCCTGCTACAGACAAACCTCCACACTGAAGCAGCTGGGCTGCTGGGCAACAAGCACGGTCTCCTATGTTAATGAGTCCTTGAGAGCCCCAACCTGGTATTCCTGTTGTTTCATGTTTCACGCCACCTAGAGCCTTTTTCACTTTACCACCTGTGGCAGGCTGGATAAACAGCACCATCCCATCCTACAGGGAGGAAGTGTGAGGTCCCAAGAGGTGACATGGCTCCCCACACTGTGCTCTACAGTTTAGACTGCACCTCACTTCCTCTGTACCCCACCTTCCAGTTAGGAGCACAGAGGCTGGAAAGACCCCGGGGTAGTAAGGTCACATGAGAGTAACTGGTGGAGTCTGACTGCAAACCAGGTCATCATCTGAGTCCTTATTTCCCTTACTACCCATGTCCTTAGGACTTCTGGCCCTGGATCCTGGGACTCTGCAACAGCTGACTTGATTATTCCAGTTTCTCTGTGCACTCCACCGGCTGTCACGCTTGTAAACAGTAATCCCTCATCACTGCTGCGATGCAGCCATGCCCGAAGCAGCCCAGTTCCCTTCCAGAAGCCTGCTGGGAACTGCTGGGGCTCCAAAGCTGAGTTAACAGTGCCCTGGGGCACCTGATTCCTGCCCATCAACCAGGCCAAGTCCAGCACAGAGCTGGCAGGTGCAAAGGTATGGTCAGCACTGGCTGTGCCCTGCTCCCCAAGAGCTGCGTCCACCTGTCTTATTTTGCCCTGGGAATTCTCAGGGCAGTACCAAGCCTGTGTTTTTCTAGGCACGAAGAAATCAGTCTTCTAGGTCCAAACAGCTTTCCTTTACATCCCCGAGACAATGCACATAACAGACTAGCTTGAACATCTATGCTTTATAGGTGGAGAAAGGCCAGTGAATCTTAAGAAGTCAGGCAGGGATTCCAAAGCACCAGCAGATCATGGCCTGAAGGATTCCTCTGCCCACGGCCACCTGGTGGCCTCACAGGTCCTCACTTCTCAAATATATCCTGTAGTACTTCATGAAAAACCTTGGATGAGAAACTTAACCTCTCTGTGCCTCAGTTTCCTAAGTGCAAAATAGGGGCAGTAACGGCACTTACCTCATAGGCTCACTGTGATGACTGAGCAAACTCGTGGGGGTGAATTTCTCCACTATCAGTGTTGCTCTATTATCATGGAAGTCACAAACTAGGTGCTTGCCTCATATGTGATGTGCAAATTAGTGAGAGCCAACTCTCTCTCCACCCAATGGCCTAGCGTGTGCAATGGGTTTTTCCTGAAGGGAAAAGTGGGTCCACCCCCACCTGGGGGCACATAAGGAATCAAGGAAGTCCTCTCCAGGGACCCAGGTGAATCCCTTTTACGAGAAAGTCACCCCTGAGCACCAGCTCCATGGTCATTTGGCGCAAGTGGAAGAAACAATCACAGCCCAAACAGAAAAACCACTGCTGCCAACCCCACACTTACTTCCAGGACTGTCCATTGTTCGACAACAATAGCATCATAGCCCTGTATGGTTTTGCTATCTTCTGTGGAAACAGCTTCAAAAATGAATACTCCATCTGTCAAGCCATGGAAGGAATCTGTGGAAAAAAAAGCGAAAACGGAGGCTGTGTAAGCTGCCTGTAGCAGAAGCTTATAAGCAGCAAAAATTTTCACTGCATTCATTAATAATCCCAATCAGAACATCTTTTCAGCATGTTAATTAAAGAAGCACACACAGCCGTAGAGTGTAGCCCCATCAGAATGAATGAGACTAATTTATCTCACAGTTTTGAATAATATCCTTGATTTTATGAGCCCAAATTTCATTGTTAGCAATCACCGTTTGATTTCACCCGTTTACCTTCCTTTTCATGCTCCGTCAGGATGCACTGGGGAGAACTTATCCAGAGTAAAACACAGCCATTTAGAGACAGTTTTTAGAACAAAACTATATTTAGGTGAGAGGGATTTTTTTTTAAAGGAGGGGTAAATACAACACACCAGATCTGAACTTGTCGCCGAGTCTTGAAGATCCCATGATGTGGCTGCCACACAGACATTTTAAGCAGCTCTTGTCAAGAGCTGGAACTTGGGGGTGGGGGAATTTTCCCAAATGATTTACCACTGAGAATGTTTCCTTAGGCACTGCTCTCATCACTGTGCCAGGTTGAGTGCTGTCCAACTCAACAACTGTATATTAAACGTACAACGTGATCCAAGAACTGTCTAGGCAATGAAGGCTATAAAGACAAATCAAACATCCCTCCTTGCCTCTGCAGAACATGTGAAGGAAGGCGCCTTCTGCCCACCCCCTCTTTGATCATAGCTCCCAACTGTCCCAGATTCAGTTAAATAAGATTGTGGGGGAAAGGACTGTCGCAGAAGCCAACGGTGTGGGTCTAGGCTCTTTCATGGAAGGTGCTGTGACCCTTTCAGGGGCCTGGCCTCATAGCTGTGAAATGGAGTTGTGAACAGATAACCCTCTGGCTCCCGGATTCTGGTCTACCAGCACTGCTCAATGATGCTGTTATGAACCGAACTGTGCCCTCCCAAATTCCTATGTTGAAGCCCTGACCCTCAATGTGACTATTTGGAGACAAAGTCTTTAGGAAGGTAAAGTTAAAGGAGACCGTAAGGGTGGTGTCCCTGTAGGAAGAGGAAGAGACATCAGCCATCTCTCCTGCCCCACCCCAGCCTCCACGGTGAGCAGAGGAAAAGCCACGTGAGGACACAGTGAGGCGGCAGTTGTCTTGCCACCAGGTAGAGTGCCTTAACCAGAAATCAAATTTGCCAGCACCTTGATCTAGCCTCCAGAAATGGGAGAAAATAAGTATTATTTATTGTGTAAGCCACCTAGTCTGCAGCCCTAGTAGACTAAAACACATACAAAGCCCATTCAATGACTGGCTACTTTAAAAGGACAGTTTTAATAGGACAAATACATAATAATGTGATATGTACACAAATGCACACAAAGAGGCAAGGGAGACAAATTTGGGAAGTTCACTATATCACACTGGAGTCCCTGGAACTGCCAGTATTTCCCAGAAATCACAAAGAAAAAGCCTGACCAATATGAATACATAACAATCTGTAGCTACATAACAAAATTAAAAGGTCATCAACAAGGGAAATTTGCAACAAAAGTAAATGAAAGGCTAAGCTTAATATTCTATATATATATAAAGTTTTATAAATCAAGTTAAAAATATGAAAATACCATTAGAAACGGGCAAAGGACACGAACTAGCAATTAATTCTCTTTTCATGGCCAGTACATATTAAAAACAATGTTTCAATCTCTTTTGTTATCAGATTGGCAAATTTTGAAAATAAAATACCATCGGTAGAGGTATGGGGATAAGGGAAATTTTACCACGCTTATAGGAATTTTAACTGCACAATCTCTGAGAGAGCAATTTCATAATGTCTGAAGTGCCTGCCACAAAAAGTCTATCCTGTTTGACTGGCAAAGGAATAACCACCAATGCCTTCAAATATATATATATATCTCCCAGCACTGCCTATAAAATTACTCAAAAACTTAATCTAAATGTTTAACAATCCAAAATCCAACCATAGAGGAATAGTTAAATTAGATTTCTATAAATTAAATACTGTACTGTCCACAAAAATGTCATGGGACTGTAATTACTCAGAACACTTTAGGTACAATACTGTAGAGAAAAAAATCAGGATATAAAACTTCCCTATGAGTGAAATGTGAATTTTTATGCTCAAAATGTTTATAGAAATAAAACTTGAAGGAAGTGCACAAAATTCCAGAAGCAGTTCTGAGTGGTGGAGCTGAATATAATTTGAATTTTCTTTTTTATTCTCTTCGAGGTTAATCTAAGAATTAAAGCAGGTGCAACACAGGGAAACGGACAACATAGAAGAAGAGAATTTTCTTTTTCTCTGTATTACGTGGCTCTGGAAGCCAGACCTAAAATCAAAAAGTTTCATCGTCTAGGAATGGAAGATTGGGCTCAGAAGGGAGCAGCATGTTCCTAGAAGCACACAAGCTCACTCTGAATGGCCTGCTGGCCACTGGAGACCTCACAGGCAGCAAGATAAAGTCCCTGCCCCTGCAGAGCTTACCTTGCAGTGGAGGAGGGAGACAATAACAGAACATCAGAGGTGACAAATGCGATGGGAATATGAAGTGGGCTAAGGGGAGTGGAAGTGGAGGGGTGTGGGGGTTATTTTTGAAAAGGGTGTTCAGGTTAGGGATCCCCATTCTGAGTACACACACGAGTGACCAGAGCAAGCAAAGGGATGTGAATCTGTAGGTTTGAGAGTTCCAGGAGAAGGGGGCAGCATGCAAATAAATGCAGAGCGAGTGAAGGGCAGATAAGGACCAGATGACCACAGAACCATGAGAGAAGAAAGCTAAGATTGAAATGACTGGTGGGGAGAACAGGGGTGAGAGGCTCGTCCACATGGGCGTTCTAGCAGGGGACATGCAGACAGAGGCTTCAAAACCTTGTGAGGTTGACCTTGAACGCCTGTGTCTCGGCCACCACTAGGAGAGGGCAGGCCCCAGCTAGATGGCTGGTTCCATAAAGATAAAAGATATGAAGCAGAACTGCCCCAATGGAGCCCAGCATGGATCAGCTGACCTACAGATCTGTGAGCCCCCAGAAGTGCTGCTCCAGCCAATCAGAAAATCTGAAGGAAAAATTACCGCACTTCTAAGCCAATGGCTTCTGGAATGGTTTGTTACACAGCATTACTGTGACAACAGCTGCCTGATACAATGCCTATCCAAGATGTAAGAAACAAGAGACTAGTGTACTCTGCTTGGCCTGGGTATAGTTTTTATTATTTAAGAATGACAAAAGCCAACAAACCACGGCTATGAAGACAACTGCTGGAGCACAGCAGCCTTATCCTGCCATCATCTCAACCTAGTACAATGATACTTTATTTCCAGTAAGAGCCCTGTGGGGAACCCAATGCTGCACTCCAGTTTCTTACTCGTTTCTTCTTCTGAGAGTTTGTTATCAGACAGCCTTGGAAGTGTTGAGCTTGCTCCTTTCATCTGTTTTGCTGAAAGTTTCACCCAACTGTTTTTCACTGGGCACTTACGGACATTTTACACGGGTGGCCAGGGAGGAAAAGTTGCTTTTCAGTTGAACCACATTACAAATACCTCTGGGTCCAGGACAAGCATGGACCATAGTCCAGCAGAGTTTCTGAATAACCCTTTGGGGTGGAGCCAGGGGTGCCCTAAGAAACTCCTTTGAATAAAGCTTCCCCGGTTTTGACCTGAAGATCAGAAGGAACTCAATAATTCCATCAGGATTCCACAGATACAGCAAATATTTCCTCAAGGCATCTACAAAAATATGATGTAGTCAGTTCTCTGAATCTACAGGATCCACATCTGCAGATTCAACCAACTGCAGATCAATTTTTTAAAAGTCTATATTCAACATGTACAGACTTTTCCCCCTTGTCATTATTGTCCCTAAACAAATATACTATAGCAAATATTTACAGAGCATTTGTGTCATATGAGGCATCATAAGTAATCCAGAAGTGACTTACAGTATACAGGAAGATGCAGGTATTTACACGCCATTTCATAGAAGGTACTTCAGCACGCACACATTTTGGCATCTGAGGGGAGGTCCTCTGCGCAAACCAAGGGATGACAGTATCTCTAATTTCCAACACTTCTACCTATGCATCTCTACAGAAACCTCTACACGTGCCCAACACGTGCTGTAAGTACTGAGTTCCCAGCTAAATGTATAGGACGATGACAGTCTTTAGCCTGCCAACAGACCGAGCAGCAGAACTGCATTCAGGAGAGGGAAGGGACAGTGGAGGCTTTTTAGACTTCCCCTCCTTCCTTCCAAGTTACAGGCCAGGGTAGGGCTGTGTGGTCAGGAAAGAGGTGCAGCCGGGCTCGGGGTCCTAAGTAGGACCACACTGGTCCTCATTCACCGTCCATCTCATCCACTGCCTGCCTCCCAGCCCCTCACCTGCTGCTCTGCCTCCTGAATCCTGAGTGCTGATCCACCTACTTAACTACAAAGTAAGTTCAGGATGGCAGTCAAAATTTGGTCATCCATAACAACAAAAAAAGTCAATGAACCAGAGAGAACAGACAGCTGGCCTTTTAAAGAGTCCCTTGTTATGACAGCCTCATCCACTCCTTGATTCCTCGTTACCCTCATGGCTCTGCCTCATTGAAATGTGCCACCGAGTTGGGTAAAAATAGGTCTCTCTCAGAGCAAAGGCTCCCCAAGTAAAAAGGTTAAGCCGCCTGCCATCTATGGAAAACATTCCATTATCACTGCATTTTTTATTAAAGTAAAGATGCTTCCCTACTGTGCACAAAAAGCTATTTGCCCTGGTATTATATAAATATTTGATGTTGGTCTTTTGGCAAAAGGCCACCTCAACATTCCAAGCTTATGATTTACAAAAAGGATGTGGGCAAAGGAGATTTGCCATATTATCTCAAGAGGTAAATTCTAGGAGGCAACCACTCTTCTGCAGTCATCATGACTGCCTGTCAAGTTCACCTTCAGATTTAGCCCTTGGGTGTGGGCTCTAAGTCTTGCCTGGAAAATATAGACCAGGACAAGCAATCAGTGCATCTGGCCTATTTCTATGAGACTAAAAATAAAGTGACTGTCTACTTTTATCAAGCTAGGTAGGACTAAACTGTCCACACTGGGCAGTGGGGATCACAGGTTTATTTGGCTCCCCGAGGGCCCCTGCTCCCCAGTGGAAGTGGCACAGCATTCTCAGAACTCTCTTGCTCCAGGAATGGTGCTGGTCGACCACATGATGTAAATGCAAGGTGGTCATGCCAACTTGCAATCCACGGTGAACAGAATCACTATTCAACCCATTCCCAACACTGATCTCAGGCTGCTTCTCTGTCATGCCGCAGCAAATTTCCCCCAGAGCACAAGCCAGGTGCCTTCTCTTACCTCTCAGGCTCCCACTGGTGCTGTAGTCGTGCCTGCCTTCCTTCCTACATTCTCATCTTGAAAAGCTCAGGGACTCTGAAAAGATACTACTCTTCTTCACTGAGAGCAGGGATTATCCTGTAAGGTTCAGTACCATTAACTGACCAGACAGGGAAGAAACACCCCAGGTTTAGTGTTGGCTGGATGTGTGGCACTCGGCCGGACAAGGTTCACAGTCCCTCATGGAATCCTTCCCAACACTCTGCAAGACTTATCACTGCCTCTTAGTGGATGAAACTATGGAAGCTACAAAAATTTATTAATCTGTCCATGTTCAAATGGAATGAAAGGGCCAAACTAGATCTAAAATGTACTTTGCTTGATTCTAAAGCCTACATTCTTTGAACAACTACGAAACTTTTATTGAGCTACTGCTATGATCAGCCATATGGTGTGCGGGGCTGGAGTAGGAATGGTGCCTCTGACCACTGTACCACACTTGCTCTCTGCATCAGTGTTCAGGGCATGATGAGGTTTGCAAGTATGTGTATAAAATATATATCCCCACTTACACATATTCTATTTGGAATATGTACGTGCTCTTTATATTTGTAGCTTGCAAGCAGAAGGTAATGCAGGCTATGCTAGGTCTCGGTCCCAGAAAAAGTGATACAAATACCCAATGCTACTTGGATTTAGATGCAGCTGAAGCATCAGGGAGTTTCAAGGATAATTTCATCTCCTGAAAAAGGTAGGGATGGAGAGACATCTGGGCCTCTGGGCACCCCTGATACAACATGCAGAGAACATCACCTGGAATGTATTTCAATCATAAATTTTAATTTATCAAGTCTATAGAACTAACTTCCTGTTTATAGGAAACAGTGGCTAGAAAAATAAAAGACACCACCAGGCAGCGACCAGATGAATCCATAATGAAGGATATTCTGCAGGATGCAAGACTAGGTCCGTTTCAAGCAGTCAGGGGCAGAATGAAGGACTCTTGTTAAAAAAGCAAGGAGAGGGGCCAGGGACGTAGCTCAGTGGTTCCGCTGCCTGCCTCGCAGGCACAAGGTCACGAGTTCGATCCCTGGTACCCCCCCCCCAAAAAAAAGCAAGGATAGGATCACCATGTACAAAAGAAATGCGAGGGTAAAATCATCATATACAGAAAAAAAGGAGGAAAGGATCACTATGTACAGTGTGTGTTGCTGGAGTGGACTCAGGTTTGCACAATCAGCTGCAAAGGCCATCTTTCCAAACAAAGAGAGGAAGGACTGCCAGGGAGGGAGAGGACAAGGACAGGTCAGGGGCTGGAAGAGGGCAGGGCAAACGGAGGGTCAGGGAGGGTCAGGGAGAAGGGCAGGGGGAGGCAAGACGAGAGCAGGGCGAGAGCGTACAAAGGTGAGGGTGAGTGCAGAAGGAGGAATGCAGGGCAAGCAGAGGCAGGAGGGGCCAAAGCAGGCCATGGAGAGGTGGTGGGGCAGCCACAGCGTCGGTGGCCAGTGATGGCGGCAGGGATCTGGCAGACCTAGAGCCCCTGGAGAGACAACAGCCTCCGAGCTGGGTCTGCAGATGGTGGCACCTGGCTCCCGCTGCTCAATAGCCAGCTCACTCCAGCCTTTGTCTTCTTGCCTGCAGTGTTCCTGAGTGCCCCTTCCCTTTGGCTGTGCTGTGGGGACCCTGAGCTCATTCCTGCTGTTCCCCGAGGTGACCCTGGAGCCCTCCTCTACCTGGAGCCCTGCTGGGGCATAACCTTCCACCACCCCGTCCTCTCCCACCTCTGCGAGTCCCCTTTCCCTGCCGTGCTCTTGTTTCTCCCTCCCACCTTCTTCTTGTCATGGATCAGAGGGAAACCCTGGCAGTGACACAGCCTCAGCCTCCGCAGCAGTAACTGACACTGCCCAGCTCCTAAGAGGGCTGCTGTGAGAATGACAGGATGAACTGCTCTGCTTGAACCGCTTGGAGCAGCACTGCCACAGAGTCCTGCGAGGACCTGTCACCCTCAGCGCACTTCTCTGCTGCACCTTGAGCTTGCAGGGCTGGGGGCAGGACTGCGCCAGGCCAAAATACCTGCCCATCGATAGATGACCTTGGGGAAGGAGCCCTGGGCATGAGGAGTGGGAGCCCAAACCTGGGGACTAGATGAGTCATTCCATGTCCTGGGAGTGAAAACAGAAGCTGAAGTCTTAACTTGGCAACTCAGGCTCAAGCATCACCTTGTCCCTGGAACAAAATTCTCATGATTTTTATGATTTTGTGGACTGCAACTATCTGCCACTGAAAAGTCATGACTGCTGCTTGTCCAGATGGCAAACAGCTTAAAGGTGCTTCTACCTCTGCCACGTTTATTAGTAAAGACACTACCTCATGAGAAATAGGTTCCTTTTATGATTATGATTAGCTTGTCCTTTTTAAAAAATTCTAGGGAAATAACATACTATCCTATTTCTTTCCTGGTCAGTGGAAAACCTGAGCTTTTTCAGAGCAGCAACACCCTAAAACCCACTAACTTTACCCCAATTCACATGCGTTTCAAGGGAGGGTGGGTTTCAATGCCCACCCTCCCTAGACACAGCCACATGGCTATGGCGCAGTGCTAGACATGGCCGCATGGAGGAAGATGTGACAGGCTCGGTGGAGGACTTCACAGTTACGCTTGCCAGAGGACATTTCACGTTGTCTTCAAGATGGGAAGGCTGGATTTAATGCCACTTAAAGCCAAGGGAGGATATGACAGCATTTCAAACATTCAAGGCAAATCTGAAGGAAAAAGATCATAAATTTTCTGTGCTTTTGGAAAGCAGGGTGGGGAGAGAGAGCAAAGGAAGTTAACTCAGCCTGGATTGCCCAAACCATAACGGTAAGAGAGACAATCAATGGCTTTGTGCACTTTCAAGGTGTTCTTTCTGGGGTTCTGCTTGCCCAACACGCTCAGGCAGTGGGGCCAGAGAAAACCTCCCTTTGGGTGCCCCAATTCTCCTAAGAGAAAAAAAAGTTGCCAATAGCAGCCTGTGTAGCTGCTACCTCCAACATCTCGCCGCATATCTTCAGGGTGTCAGTACCACTGGCCATCAGTTTCCTGGGGAAAAGCATAAAGCTATGTGCAGCCACACAGGGTATCTATGGAGACCAGAGACGTTCAAAGGAGCTCCTATGGCTCCAACCTAAGTTGGACAATGAGGGTTCCTGCAGGAAGCGGGAGGCAAACGCTCCTTCCCACCACTCCCAAGGCCCATGAATCAGGCCAGAAACGCCTGCCCCAGGCACTTACAGCCCTGGGCTTTATGGTGCATCTCCAAACAGAGCTTGACAACCTCTGGTTTCACAGGCCCCTATAGCCACCCTGGAGGATTTCCTTGTGTAGAGACATTACTGACCTTGATGCCAGGGAACAGAAGTGACTCCTCCTTAGTTATGAAATATACACCCTAGAATTGCATTATCCAATACTCTAGTCACGTTCAGTTATCTAAATTTAAACTAAATAATTTTTAAAATAAATTGTGCTCAGTACCTACAAATGGTTGGCAGCTATCATATTGGAAAGCATGATATACAACATTCCAACACCACAGAAAGTTCTACTGGACAGCGCTGCTCTAGATGTATTCTTAATGAGGTAATTGCCTTCCTTATGTGATTCATCCATTTGACAATGATTATGACCCACTAATCCTACAATGCTTTCTGCTACTATAGTAACATGTTGATATTAGACACTGATATTTAGATACTAACAAGTGACTTGCATACAAAATTAAGATCCGTCTGTGCTGTGTCATCTTCCAAGGCTTTGGATGATTCGAAGAATATACATTCAGAATTAACACTAGTGTCTAAAGATGCTTGCTGGCATTTCAATGACTGCAAGTAATACAGAATCCATTCTCACCTCTGCTGGTTCTTTAGAGAAAAAAACTTAAGACACAGTGCTGTTTGGCCCCTGCCAGGTTTTGTTGGGATTTGGTGTTGCATGTCACTTAAGAATCGTGCAGACTGGCAGCCCTCAGGACCTATACATGCTTCCATCTTGGTCCCACTCCCCAAATTACCCCCCAGCTTTGAAACATACCATGAGGGTGACTTAATTTGCCTTTCTTTGCTTGACACCTTTCTACTGTGGGCAGACTTAAAGTCTTTCTGCCTTGACAGCTGACATCACTAATGCTCTTCCATGCAACAAACCCCAGAAATAACCTGTTTCTGGGGAGAACCAGGTGCCATGAGACCCAGGAACAGAGCGTGTCCCGGTGGCGCTTATCGAAAGCAGGCAGTGCAATTTGTTTCTCTACTGTCAGTTCCAAGGTGCTGCTACTGCTACTTCAAACTGTAACAGTGTCTACAAACAATCTGCACTTTCAGAGTGGCATAATTCCGGGGGGTAATTAACAATCCCAGGGAATCATCTTTACAAAAGCTTTTAAAAGCAACAGGGATGGAGGCCACCACTGATGAAACAGAATCACTGCCCTTTCCCTGGCATTTCAGAAGGCACCTGGCTGACCCCTGGAGAGGCCTGGAGAGCACAGGTCCTTGGCTTTATGGAAATTGCTCAAGGTGCATTTATTATAAATCAAATGCCACGTGTTTACTGCCCGTATAGCTTTCTGAAGAGAGCATGCTCTGAAGAGGGGCTAAGACTGCAAGTTATTAGTAGAGTTAGTGAGGGCCACCAAAGGCCACCAAAGCCTTCCATACCATGTGCCATTCCCAGGTGGAAGACTGCATTCACCAGCACTCCCCCCTTCCGGAAGTGGTCGCTCATGTGCTCCAACCAGTTGGCATCCAGACTGCTCACTGTCTGACCATTCCTGGAGATGCGCAGAGGAATGGTGACGGGGTAGTACTGCCGGCACTTCTCATGGTTCTTCGGTTTGTTGAAAAGCGCGAAGATCTCCATTTCTGTGGGGATTCGTAAAAAGCGGGGAGGGGGTCAGATGGCGATAAAAATCTGCCTCATTGGGTTTAGTGAAATGTCTTTGGGAGCCTGAAGAAATGATATCAAAAGTAAAACTGAGGCTTAAGTGTTGCCAAATAATAAAACCCCATTCCAAGTAATAAGTTGAAGCTGCCTTCAAGGAGAAAAGGGCCTCAAATGGGAGGCACTGGTTTTGAATCTGTAATATTATGAACAACTGTTATCTGGGATTCATTTGCATAGTTCAGCATTTGGGAGGACATAGCAGGCATTTCTAGAAATGCACACAAAGAGATTTTTCTCGAAATAAAAGACATATTTGGGTAAGAGCCAGTCTTCAAAAAAAATAAAAAAGGTAAACATACCAAGGCACATAAAAACAAAAATACTGCTCTAATTCCAGGAACCTTGTACACCCCTGGACTCACTATTTATAAGCTGCAGTGGTGTTTCCTGGGGTCAAACCCATAATACTTAGTCAAGTACATCAAAAATACATCATTGATATGTAAAAATAAATATGTTCCCGTAAATGAGGGTTCCTGCCTGGAGTGGCAGGTCTGCTCAATCAGCCAAGCAGGCACCAGGAGTGAGGCTCCCAGCATTCCATGTCTTCATTTATAGCTCAGTTTTCCAGGAATCAATAATCACTAGCACCCAGCAGCAGATCTGCGCCTGCCCTACGTGCTGCTGGGCACGAGTTAGCAGCAGCCGCCTCCTGAAGCAAATACCTGGAATTTCAATCTAAGTCTTAAGGTCTATTTTTGTGATACTCATTTAGTCAAGGAATCAGAACTGACTCACCTTAAAAAGCTTTGCCTTACACAGCTTGGTCAGAAATATGCTTTGGTTTCCAGAAATATCTTTTGGAATCACAAAAAAATCCCCACCCATCTCGCAAAGAAAAAATTTAAAGGTCACAAACAATAGTTGACATTTGTAAGAAGGACAAAGCACAGTCATGCTCCCTGTATGAGATACCTAGACCCAAATTTCAGTGTTTCACAATTTCTGTGGTATTCAGACACTTGCTAAATTATTGTTTAAAATGACTCACTTTCCTTTATTTAAACAAATACATTTTAAAAGAAAACTTTGCTTTATGATCATAAAGGCAAATTACTACCACTTGCCAGAAACAGGGAGGAATGAGGAGGCACATTAACACCAAATATGTCACCGCTGTCACCCCAGATTTTCTTTCTGAGTCTATTTGGCCGACTCAAGATGTCCTCTCTAGCCAGGAAATGCTTTCACACAAGAAATAAGGCCCTGGTGTATGGAACCAGCAACCACACTTCTTCTTAACTTTGATATACAAATTTGAGGAATAGAGTGATACAGAGGAAAGTTTATAATGGAGGGAATCAAGTTAGGGACTGGAGCTGGAGGGTGGGCAAGAAGTGAAATGGACCGTCAGGTGTTTTCCAGTCCTAGGTGCCAGAGGTTTAAATAATGCTTTAGTAATTCTTTTCCTTCATTTGAATTTCTCCACAAGTGGACCCTACAAGCTGTGTGCCAGTCATTTATTTGGAAAGTGATCCTAGGAAACAGAAGAGAGGGAGGTGAGATGGGAGGTCAGGAGGAAATAAAGTCAACGAAGGGTGCATTAAGGAACAAGTGACCATGGGGGCAAGTGGTACTCAATCCCTCCCACACCCTGAGATACTGTGTGTGACACATACAAGATGGGCCCACCAAGGGCAAAGCAGCTGGGGCATTTATCCTCACAGAGCAAAAGTCACTCCTGAGGGGTTCACTCCCCAGGGCGTCTGCCTGCCTGCACGTTCCTTGCCCAAGGACGCTGGCAAGCTGGCAAGAGTCTAAGGAGGCTGGGCTTGGCCAGAACTATCCGCAGCTGACACTAACGTGCGCCGGTCCCGACGATCTGTTACAGTCAAGTACAAACGCAATAAAATTAAGAGGAAATCACAGCTGCCACACGGAGGAGTGGGGAATCAGACGCTGGCCAAAGTCTAACACACATAGTAACACTTGATCACACAGAAGGATCCCCCACTTGCATGCCAAGATAAAAAACACAATTTTCATCAATACATAATGAAACAGAAAAGGGAGAAGGCCAGAAAGAGAAATGAGAATGCGAGGGTGGGGGAGGAGACAGAAACTGTCAGACGAGGTAGACGGTGCTAGCAGGGCCCCAGCCTTCCCACCTCCATCCTCCCCAGGGGGCAGGACTGAAGCCAGAGACAGAAATACATTTTTCAGGAAGGAAAAGGAAATGCTGTTGGAACGAAGAGCCTCCAAAGCATTAGTGGCAATGAAATGTTGAGAGAAAGCTGACTTCAGATACGTCACCTTGAGTGAACTCTCTTGTCCCACTGTCTCCTTGGAAACCGGCCAAGAGAAACTATCCAAAAATGATGCCCTCTGATGTTTTTATCTTCTGATTCCTCAACACACAATCCCACGTGAGCAGGCACCAATGGTTCCAAAAAGCTGCCGAAAGTCTGTTTAAATTTTCTCAGCTGCTCTATGACTCCGCCATGACCCCAGCTGGAATATGTTTCTAGCCATGGGACAGAAAGTCCCCAGGGAAGGCGGAAGGCATTGTTTCTGAGGATGCTCTGGAAGGGCACCCAAGGAGCATCAGGCTGTCTCCTTGTCTTTCTCTCCCCCTGACATGGGGCCTTGCTTTGTCTCATTTGGATCCCACATATACAGCAGCAAAGTCCTCCTGTACTATGTACAGCAGGTGCTACACATGTGTTTGCTGATTGACTTGAATCAGTCAAGTAGAGGAAGGGAAGGGATGATTGGGGATGTGGGGTTCCAGGCTGGAGGATGGCAGGCTTAGCCAGCTGGGTGGCCCCGTTTGCTTGGGCTGTGCCCAAGGGAAGTGGGGAACAAACACAGTTCTGAGGCCTGAGCCTGTGAGAAAGGACTTAAGCCCAGCATAGAAGTCTACAATCTGCCTACAGTTAAGGCCCTAGAGAGCTATGGCTTGAAGCTGAGCCATGGGGCTGGTCAGGGCCCCATGTCTGGTGGGAAGAACAGAGCTCAGAGTTCAACTTCAAGTGTGGGACTCCAAAGGCCAGACTTAGGAGGAGGAGGAGGCAGCTGGACAGTTAACAAATGGGAGTCAGATGTGGCTGGGTAGCCTGAGCTGGGGTGGCTGGGGAGAGCATGGACAGGGGGAACCGAGGCAGAAGGCTCCCACTGGGAAGGCATGGTTTCGGGGCCTGTGGTGGGGAGGGCAGCGGTCCTGAAGCAGTTCCATCCAGATCCTGGATCTGGCCACCTAAGGCTTCCATTAGTTCAGGTACTGACTGGGCCAGCATGAGGCCACCCACCAGGCCAGAGGGGAAGGCAAAGTGTGGGGACCTCTATGCATACAGCAATCCAAAGGAACCCACATGTGAGGACCAGAGCAGCCCTGACCTGTGAACAATGTTGACAGGGGCCATGACCTTCATCATTTCATATGAGTCTCCCAACGTCCATGGGAGGGGGTGGCACTAGCTCTATGTCCAGAAGCACTAAGTGGATCCCCCCAAATCACGGCTGGTAAGTGGCTGAGCCAAGAGTCTTTCAAACCCCAAACCCTGGGCTTGTTCCCAAGTCTAACACCAGAACACAGAGGGCAGGTGCTGGAGGCCAGGGGTGGAGGCTCAAAGGCTGATTGTTTGCAGACTGAATGAAATGCCAGAAAGATGGTGGCAGGTGGCAGATCTCAGGATGAGCATGGGGGGAAGACACAGGCCCAGAAGGGGGCCACACATCAGAAAAGGGCCTGAGTTTTAGATGCTCACGAGGAGCTGGCTGCCAAGGAGGTCTACTGAACAAAGCAATTCCCCTAGACCAAGAAATAAAGTCAGTGAGCAGAAATGCAACTGAGCCCACTGGCTCCAGCTTCTGGCTGACATCTCTAAGCAAGGAAGAAGCGCCACGCTTAGAAGACTTCTTAGGATGATTATTTAAATTCCAGAATTTGTGCAAACCTATCTGGCCTTTGTCTCTCTGTTCGAAGTTGTAGCAACAGAGACGCTGGGGCTGTGGCTGCATGAGCCCAGGGTGCTCACTGCACAGCCAGAACTCAAACCAAGAGAAACTCCCCCAGACCCAGAATTAAAGTCAGTGAGCAGGACGAGAACCCAGGAGGGCATGGCCCAAGCTGCAGAGATGGGAGGGCAGCCGGCCCCTCCTGCTGGCGGGAGACTTCCGGGAAGACCCCCCAAAGCACCCCAGCTTGGATTCCTCTCCCACAGCCCTTCTAGCTAGGAAACAAATTAACAGAGGAGAAGGAGGGGAAAAAGGGAGACTCCCTCTGGATTTTTAAAAAAATTGCCTGGCTGTGATTGCCTATTTAAGCTCACCTGGTAGAAAGAGAAGTAAAAACACTTCATCCTCCTCAGGGGGCCCTGGAAGAAAGGCAAGGTGAGAGCTGAGCAAGCGGGGGGTGGGTGTGCGTGGGTGTGTGTGTGTGTGGGTGTGTGTTTTGGGGGTAATGATGAGCAGACTTCCCAGGGAAGGAAACAACAAGGCTCCCCAGGAGAAAGATTAGTAGACAAGCTGGGAGTCAGGTGAAGGCCTTGACCAATGCCAACAGGGCCCCTGGACATCCGGCCTTAAGGGAGGCCTAAGTGCTCAGGCCATGACAAAAAGAAGTTGCCTGCACTAGGACACGGAGGGGACTCCCTTGGGAGCAACTGAGATACCCCCAGGGAGCAGTCAGGACAGTGCTCTCAGGCCACCACCCTCACGACCACCGTCCGTCCATGACCACGGGCCTGCAAGTTTATCGCCTGATGGGAAGTCCAAAGGCACTGATTCCAGGAAAGAAAGCCAACAATGAGCTGCCTCAACTCAGACCACTGGAGCCTGGGTGGGCCGCTACACACGTGGAGGGGTCACTGCTACCCAGGGAGACTGCGGTTGGGATGGCCAGCCTGAAACTCCTGTTCACCTCAGAGGTGATGCCTGTATCAACACACATTAATCCACAATTTTCCAGTACAGAATAGGGTCTTGGGATGGGCTAGAAGCCAGGACACTCTATTGAACCCTGAGGGAGTCTGAGTGACAGGACAAGTAGTTACAGGGCAGCAGGAGGGGCCAAGAGCAGGTCTCCCAGTTAATAAAGCTCCTTGGTATCAGAAGGTAGGAAGTCTAGTTGGAGTTTTGAAGAAAGGTGGATTCTGGAATAAAGGGGTAACTGCACCTTCCCCAGCAAGCCTCAGTATTCTTCTCAAAGCCAGGGTTCCAAGACAGGTGCGGAACAAGAGCCAGGACCTCAGAGTCAGTGCCCAACTATGCTAATTACACCGGCGTGTCAGCAGCACTTGCAAAGTCCATCTCACCGAACATTCCCGAAGGAAGCTACTGCTTTTCCCTGTGTAAGATGGGAGTGTCTCGTCCAAGACCACTGCCTCCTCAGAAGATGGCTGGGACATACAGAGCCTGGATTCTTAACCTTTGTGCTCCCTGCCTCCCCAGCTCCTGCCCCTTCCATCTGTGTCTGGCCTGACCCCTCCACCCCTTGTGCAGTCCTGCATTATCGAGAAGGCTCTTCAAAGTCCTGTACTTCTCCTCAGGATTCAGTGCATACATCCAGCCTGCCCATGGGAAGACAGGGCTCCTGGATTAAGACCCGGACATTCAGGGAGCCCGTCCTGGCCTGCTCACACACACTCTCAGCTGCTCTGAGCAGGAAGCAGAAGTCTACTTCAACCAAGTGAAAAGCCACACAAAGGAAGAGCTCTCCTTCCTTACATGTTTAAGGATCCAGCTTGATTAAATGACAGCCCAGAATTGAGGCAGCTCCAGTCTTCCCCTCTAAGCAACTTTGCAAATAAGCTCCCAGAATTTACCATCCTATAATTTTTTCAAGAATTACTGATGGAACTAAAGAAACTATGTCACCTTGTTTTCGCCTCTCAAAGCATAAAATGTTCCTTATCATTTATAAGAGGTCAATTTCAAAGATTAGCAAATAAATAGTAACATTAATCAGGGACATGATCAAGAAAGACCTAAAAGTCCTCGTGAAGCTTGGAGGTCCCCTACTGTCGTCCTGATACTCACCTACCTTCCAAAGGCCAGTAGAGGCCCCACCACTAATGTAAGCACCTGGCTCTCAGGAAATGACCGAATGCTAGATTTCCTGGAGAAAGTGGAGAAAAGGGAATTCTGGGGAGGAGAGTGAAGTCAAACTTGCTCCCTGTCAACCAAGGGCTTCAGGAAACCTCGCCAGTCTACTACACAGGAAAGACCAAGTTGAAAATCATGGAGGATGCTGGGTCAGCCCACTTGCCAGATCTGCCCCTTTCCAGCCTGGCCAACACATTTCCTCTCTAAACCTCAGATTACTCAGCTGGAAAAGTACGTGATAACAGAGCTTGCCCACACGATAAGGCTATATAGAGAATTATGAGATCAGTCATTTAAAAAGCTTATTGGCACAGGGCCTAGTACTCAGGAAGTATTAATAAATGTTTGCTATTATTGTGTTGTTATTTGAAATCCTCAACCCAATGTGCATGCTCTAATGGCTGTTACAATGTGATTAACAGGATCACATACTGGCAGCCTCCCCTTGGCAGTGTTCTCTGCTCAGTGCTGATCTGTCAACTACATGACCTCCCTGAAATCTGGCTGTTTACATCCTAGTGAGTTGAATCGGTTTCCTGCACAATTTGCCCTCAACTGCCTTTCCTGATTTCTTGTTTTAGGCAGATATTCTAAAGAGTAGAGCATTCAATGTCATAGGTGACCAGCCCACCAATACTTTCTATATGAGGTCAGGGTGTTCAAGGGCCAGAGCGTAAGGGTTGAAATAATTCACAGTCTAGAATCTACTTCAAAGGTAACATTTTGGAGCAATGCAAGTCAATTTCATGTGGCTCTGCTCACCCCAGAAGTCACAATTTCAGCACACAAATAGTTGGGTGGCCCAGATCACTGCTCGATATCAAAGTTTCTCTTGTTTTATGGACTGCTGTGTCTACACTCCAATTCCCTTTCTTTTCCCCTAAGATGCCCTGGGGATTACTGAAAAGCTGTTAGCCTCTAAGTGGGTCAAAGCTCCTAGTGCTGACATACTTACTTCCTGAGCATGATTCTTCATGTACATCCAACAGGTCACCATCTGGTCCATCCAAGGTTGGGCTCACCTCCCTCCAGGAGGCTTCTCTACCCTCCTGGAGTGAGCCGGGTTCCTCAGTGGGAGGAACCTCCCCAGTGGGGCCTGGACTGGGCTCCAGGCTTTGGTCCATCCCTGCAGGAGCAATGCTGACATCCACAGCCCCTGGGCCCTCGTTCTCCAATGATGTGTGATCCCCATGTGCACTTTTCGCATCTCTGGCACCTGCAGCACTGTTGGCAGGGGATGTCAAGGCACTGCTGCCCACCAAGGTCACAGGGGAATGGTACTGAGGTATAACGCCAACAAACTTCAGGCCCCGACTTGCGGCCTCCTGGACCTGGGAGGCAAACAACATGAAGGGAACTGGTGAATGGGATGGTCTATCAAAGAGGCGCGCAGCATCCCAGCACCTTACTGAGGCTTCCGAGAACAGAATGCCAGGCTGCAGAGGGGCCATGTCCCCGCGGCAGTGCCCGCTCTCCATCCCAACCTGATGTGTTTCACAATGTGTTTCACTATGTTGTCTGAGAGAAACACAAAGGATGTGGCTGTGAAGCGTTGGGATCACGTTTCTTTAAAACACTGCGTTAATTGCTGTTAGTTTTTCTTTCTGTCATTTAAACAGGCTAGAAAAAGGTTATAAAAGGATAAGCACCACCAAACAGAGTTTGAAAGAGGAAGTTCATTATTTTGCCAACAGTTTACTTTTTGTTATTTCTTTTTCTGATGAATTGCCTACTTCCTGCCCACCAGGCTACTATATAAAAAGTGTTTATAGAGATATATATATGAACTGCCAGATGGCATCTTATGACCCAGAGAGCTTCCTTTTTGACACAATAGTTCTGGCAGGGAAGGTCAAAGGTGGGGAAACCCAACCTTGTGTGAAGGCTGCTGGGCATCATGCTCCATGGTACGCTCAGGCCTGGAGGATCCCACACCAAGGTGTCTACAGAGCACACCTGGCTAGCAGTCTTGGCAGGCCTGTCTGGGCCCTCCCCATGCAGGTACCACCATCTCGCATAGGGAAGCAGCCCACAAGGAGTCTCAGGACACTTGAACTCTCCCTCTTCCTTAAAAAAATAGCTCCAGGCCATTGCATTTAGTCTTCAAACTTTGAAAGAAAAACTGAAAGAGCCTAATAAAATTCAGCAACAGCCACACCAAACTGGCAGGCTACAGGGGACTTTCCCAGCAAGGATTCTCAAGTCATATAAATAAGAAGGTAGAGACCTCTAAGCTGTCTAAGTCTTATTCACTAACCCCTAAATGGATGGCCTCAGCAACCCTTAAGGCTTCTGCAATAATCATCTACTTACTGTCACCAAGAGTCAGTAAGAAAGGCTGGCCTGGAGCTACCTTCAAAGGAGAAGCAGTCTTGGCAGCCCACCGTGGCTGAGCTGCCTTTAATGCTAAGCACACTGCACATTCTAGAAAAAAATCTAGAGCAGTTCCAAATGTATAGTTCAATCTTTCTATAAAATTTAGACTGTACTAAACATAGCATAACAATAGTACTAAGGCCATCCAATGTACCCCCCTATGACACATGGGGCCCTGAACTAGGTATTTTACATAAATTGTTTTAATCCTTCAACAAGCCTGGGAGGAATTATTATCTCCATACTGAGACGCAAGGGTATTAAAGTCATAAAGCAAGCACTGAGGAGCCAGATTCAAAGTCAGGGCCCGGTCCAAGCCCAAACGGACGCAAGTCCAAGTGGATACACTTTGAGGTACCAAATAGATACATAGCCACCAGCCTGTATGTGTCCACTTACCCGTCCCGGGTTGGCTCAAATCACACTTAGAAAGTGAAAAAATAAAAGAAAGAAAATCCTTAAAGTTTTCCTGTTCATTCTAGCAATTCATCTTTCACTTATTAATCTCTGATTTGCCTATTTTAGAAATTGTCTTGGAAAACTTCTCAAAGCAGACCTAGGTGACAACAGTTTTAAAAGAGTAGGGAGATAATTGTATCAAAGAACCTTAGGTTGGGCCGGGGATTTAGCTCAGTGGTTCCGGCACCTGCCTTGGAAGCGCAAGGTCCCGAGTTTGATCTCCGGTACCAAAAAAAAAAATATCAAAGAACCTTAGGTTAAAGAAAACCACTATTTACCAAAGCATGGCTCAGAGCTTCCTGGCAACATAGGCAAAAAGAAAAGGGCAATGGATTTTACAGCCCTAAAGGAAAGGCAGAAACAGCCTCCCACAGAGGAAACAGCTGTGATGACGAAGCTCAACCTCAGGACAGGCTCACCTGGAGTCATGGCAACGGCATGGCTTTGAAGGCTTTCAGAAGGCTGGGCCTAGGCTCCCAAAGTGTTACTCAGTGGCATGAGGGCCCGCAGAGGGTTACATAAGCTTTCTGCCCTCAGTGATCTCTTCTATAAAATGAGTTGCTTTGAAGATTAAACGTCATGCACAGCAAGTGAAGTCAGGGCACAGAGAAGGTACTGTGGCCATGAGAACGACATAGACCTCTCTCGGACAGTCCCTGGCTTCTGTGGCCCTCCAGACACTGCTGAGGGTCACCCAGAGAGGCGCGGTGAAGGCTGGACACAGGGTATCATCCTAGCCCTCTCCTTCCTCCCTGGGACTTGAAGAACTGGAGAGGATTAAACATCACTCAGACTTCAGCTCTCTCCCACCACAAATTAGACAATCATATTCTTTTGCCCAAATCCATCCTCTGGCCCAGGGGTTCTCAAAGTGTGGCCCCAGACCAGCAGCGTCACTGTGCCCCGGGAGCTTGCTTGCAATGCGGACTCTCAGACCTACACATTCAGCAGCGCTGAAGAGGGGCCCAGTCACTCTTGTTTAACAAGCCCTGCAGATGACCCTGGGCAGCCTGGTGTTTATGAAACCCTGCCACAGAAGACATCTCATGAGGGCCGGACGAGGGTACTAAGTATCTGCTGAATGAATGAATGAATGAATACAGTAACTAATGAATGAGCACATGTGTCTCCTCCCCTAGAAATGTGCTCCTGGAAGGTTACAATGGTGAAACATTAATTTTTCTAGCTCTAGAGCTCAACAAACATTTATTAAATCCCTATACTGGCCCAGACAAACACTGTGCTTAGGTATTAAGGAGACAAAACAGAAGCCCTGGCTCTCAAGAAGATTCAGCCAAGTACTATTAAAAAAAACAAAACAAAACACTACACTCACAATAAAATTTATATTTACATTAGTTACATTTAAAAAGATCAAGATTTTAAACTTTATAGGCACAGTTTTAAAGCAACATTTTACACACATACACACACAATGCATAGAAACATTCAACAAAATGAAAACAGGAGTGCATTCTAAAAGTGAGGCTCTGAGTGATTATATTTGTGTGTAATTTTTCAAAGTTTATTATTATTAGAGTTGAAAAAAGTATCTTAAGAATTTCTCATAGAGGATGATAAATGCAGTAATGGATATGGAGATATTCCAAAATGAATTGAAAAATTGATTACTTCTGTCCAAAGGAGAGGATGAGAAAAGTTTCTCACAGAGGGTCAGGGCTCTAACAAACGGAAAGCAATATAGTAGGAAGAGGTGAAGAGTGTGGTAGAACTGAAGTATGTATGTCTCAACTTGAAGTACTCAAATCCCTTTTTTCCCCACAATAGTGTGTTTGACAAAATCTATTTGGGGACCAAATATTCAGGAGGCTTTGAAGGGTGAATAGGAGCTCACCAAATACGTAAAGGGAGAAGGGCAATCCATGTAAAGGCAAGAAAGAATTATCCTGAGCAAAAGTTTCATGGTGAACAACAGCCTGTATGCTAAAGAAACTTCCAGAAATATTTCTGAAAGTCACATGAGAAGCCAGGAGCACCAAGAAATGAGACTGGACTAGAAATCATGAAGACTGGAGCATATGTCCTCGGACACCAAGGTACTAAAGGTTCTGACTTCACCCTGCAGGCCAACACATCCCCAGCTTCCTCACCACAGTAACCCTAAGAGCAGAGAAGAGTGGCCCTGAGAGCGGAGCACAGGATTTATCTGAATACTCATTTTTTTATCTTACACATCAATGAAAATTTTATGTCCTGTGCCACGGTGTCTCATACTATCCAAACCTTTTTACAAGCTGCTCAAGTTAAATGCTCTGTCCATCCCAGGCCTTTCAGAGAAACACTCGTGCCTCAAGAGGAAGGATCTTTGTGCATAAATCTTTTTCTGCAGCTCTGCTTGCTTCCATTGGGAGGATTCCTGAAAGTAGAATTAATAGCCCAAGGGATATTAACTTCTCAAAGGCTTGGTGTAGGCTGCCAAATTGTTTACCAGAAAGGGTGAGTAGTTCTTTTTAACCAGAAGACTGAATTTAAGTCCTATAAAGATCAATATTTGCCTAGACTCTAGGGGCTATGACTCTTCTGGTTTTCTACTGTATCTTAGTGTACTTTTGATTCTCTTTTTCTGTACTGACCATATATATATATACCTATAGCTAAACTGAATCATGACTGTTTTTCATTTATTTTCTCATTTATAACTTTCACTGAAAAACTCTTCCAATACATTTAATGGTGGGCACCAGACAACATCTGTCAGGGTTTATCCTCAGCCCACCGGGCTCAACTCTTCTTTCCTCTTGGTGACTCTACTCACACGGGTTTAGTCACTAATAATATGTTAATTATTCCCAAATTTGGATGCCTAGTCCTGACTTCCCTTGGAGGTTCAGACCTATAAGGCCAATGGTCACAGATGATAAGTCCACTACTGACTTTGTGAATCTGGGGCCGGAGATTTAGCTCAGTGGTGCCGCCGCCTTCCTCACAAGCGCAAGGTCCTGAGTTCAATCCCCAGTACCAAAAAAAAAAAAAGTTAGCACACTTGTGAATCTGGAGTCCCAGGTAGCTTCTTCTTCAGTTCATTCCTTTCTCTAATTCCATGGGTTCATTCAACACATCCTGTCAGATTTATCCCTAAATGTTTCTGTAATCCTACCCTCATTCTTCACACATAGAAGGTAACCCTTGGGCTGGGGATTTACCTCAGTAGTTTCGCCGCCAGCTGCGCAAGTGCAAGGACCCGAGTTCAATCTGCGGTACCAAAAAAAAAAAACAACGTAGATTGGAATAGAAGGTAGCCCTCGTCATCTGTGGCTGGACATGAGCATGACTTCATGCCCTCACACCCCAGGGATCACATCAACATGGAAGAACAAATCATGAATAGTCAGGTCACCTTAGCTCTGGAGTTCCCAAGGACCGTCACATACAGGACCACAACTGTAATTCGTGACAACAACAACTACAAATATTGCACAACTCTTCTACAAAGAACATCCCCAAACATTAGCTTAGTCTTCTAAATACCACCTTA